GGGGTGGAGCCAAGGAGAGGGGCGGGGCCGAGGAGAGGAGGGGTCATGCTCTTCTAGATCCTTCAGGCCATCCAAGGAGGGTAATGAATCACACACACTCTCACACGCTACACTCACTCCCACACCCACACCCCCCTGCCCACACTCACCTACTCCCACGCTCACACATGCGTGAGGGCAGGCAGGCACAGTGAGCTCCTCTCTGAGGAGATCAAGGTAAAGTCGGTCCTTTCACACAGGCCTCACAGTGCCAGGGCACTGAAGGCAGAGTCACGTCGAAAGATGAGCCCACCTTGAAGGCAGCCACTCCACAAAAACTTCTACTTCCTTCGGTTCAACAGCTGAGACTTTTTACAAATTCCAAAAGTAATACCCAGAAAGCCCAGATGACCCCAATGATGCCACTCATACTCTTGACAGAAAGGTAAAATCATACACTTCTCCCTTTTCGCTCTCTTGCTCTCTTTTTTTAATAAAGGAGAGAGTGTTCAGTGGCCATAAGAAAAAACAAATTGTACAATTTAAGAAACTAAATCCAAATGTCCTGTTACATTTACTACCTAATTTCTCTCTCCAAATCCAGGAGACAGTTTCTGCATGTGCCCCCAACGTCCCTCTTACCACCGGACAGGGAAGTTCTCACACAATGTTAACCGTGAGTTGAGTCCAGCTTAGGTCTCCAAGGACGATCAGAACCAACAGTACCTCTCAGAGCCCAGGATGCTGGGACTCCGCTGCCCGAATCAAAATTTGCCCACCAGAAATCCTGTCCTTGGATGACCTGTCTTAATTACTAACATCTCAGGCTAACACCAACTGAAGGTCTCCCTAAACACCTAATTATAGATTTCTGCTCTACCTCAAAGTTGTTTTTCAAATAAAGAACACGATCAAATTTACCTGGCTGCTGCGTAATTAGGGCATAATCATGAAACTAGATCAATCTCCTCTATTCTGTGGGGAAGATATTTACTGGGGTTCATGTTTTGAGCAGGTTCATAAATCTTCATGATAAAATAAGATGCTTCTGTATGAACGCAGGTGTTGAACACAATGGACCATTTGGATACAGTGATAGCAAGTGGAATACTAAGCCAAGAAATTTTTTTAGAAAAATGTATTTCTGCACATGTGAAGGCCAAGTGACTTTACAAAGGCCTGCTATTCAACTGTTTCTCAGGGGGATTCCTGCCAGCTCTCCAGTGAACCAGATCTGGAAATTGGTAAGCATGCATCTTCCACTTATTACCATAAAAATTAAGACGCCTATTTAATTTTTATACTAGTGAGATTTTACATTTATGTTGTTGGAGAAATAAATTCTGAGAAACATAACCAACTGGCACCATGGTCTGATCCATGTAGAAGCCATTTGTTCAACATGTTAACAGTGAGTCTCAGATGTGAACAAGCACAGATGACTCAAGAGCAAACTCCAAGACTTCACACAGAGTAGAGATGCAAAAATAAGCAAGGGCTATACTGTCTTTGATAAATTGTATGATGACAGTAAATCAAAGCATCATAGAGCCACAAATAGATGTGCGGAAAGGCTAGCAGTAGAACAAAAGGGATTCTGGGGGAAAGTGGTACTTGAGAGGGATCTTGAACTTGAGCAAGAGTCAGCAGATGAAAAGGAGGTAAAGTGGCATGGCAAGAAGAGCAAGAGAAGTCCAAGACATGGTGCAGAAGACAGGCTGCTGCTGCAGGAACAGCGTCACCTCGGCAGCATAGAAGAGGAGGCTAAAGAAAGCACTAGGCCAAAAGCTCTGTAAAGCCAAGGAATGCAAGCTTCACATTTTCTTTAAAAAAAAAAAAATTAGTTATACGTATAGAACTGGGATACAAGCCAGAGGTGCAAGGGCAGCGAGAGGATTCACCAGAGACAGAGTGGGGAGCAGAACAGGCAGATCAATGAAGTACACTGCTGAGGGGAGCAGCGGGCGGGTCAGGAGAGGTCTGCCGCGCCATGTGGTCACCTCCGGGGCTGGGATCAAACTCGCACTGAAGCAGCTGCCACTAGCTTGCAGTGCTGCGTCCTTACCCGCTGAGCCACAGGGGGTAAGGGGGGGTTGCTTGACATATTTTCGAAATAACTGTCAAGCCAGTCTAGTGGAAAGAGCATCATGGGAAGGGGTCGGCATTGGAAGCGGGGAAAGGAGGTGCGGGCACATTTCAGCAACGTTCCAGGCAGGAGCACAGCCCTTGACTACGGCCATGTCACCCCCCGAGAGCGAGGTGGTGTGAGAGTTAGCGCTTTGTAGTAAACAGAAGGTGGTCAACTGTCAACTGTCAACGAGCCAGAAAGCCAGCCTGCTGACCGTGCAACAAGGTGATCCAAGGGTCAGGCGCACAGTGTGAGGGCAGGTTCCGCTCACAAGGGGACGGGGCTGGTGAGGCCAGTGTGTGGCATGTGACCTCAGATCACCTCAGATATTTGGGTGTGAGCCTTCAGCTCTTCACAGTAACTCTGGGCAAGATGGAAGACATCTATCTGGGACTCACTGGCTCATCTCATGAAAACTTGGGTGCAGATAAAATCTCCCCAAAAAACCCATAAGAATCAACAGCATCCCAGTAAAAAAGGGATCCAGCTGTTTAGGAACCATGGCAGTTAGATCACAAATATTTAATTGGCATGCTTAGGAAGGGTGATTCCTCAAGGTGAGTTGAAAAGCCCTCCAGATTGGGAAGTTACCCCCCCCCCCACACCCAACAAAAGGCAGCTCAAGCCTGCTCTATTTTTTCTGAAAAAAAGGCAGACAAAGAAACAGAATAGCGAGAGGAAGTGGGGAGGGGGGAGTGTTAAAGAGAGGAAAAGAGAAGAAGAAAATGAGGGAGAGAAGAAAGGTGTGAGAAAGAAAGGAAAGAGAATAACTTCAATGATTTTTTTCTGTCTTGGCTGACATTTCACCAATAAACAAGGAAAACCCTAGAAAACTGTAGATTTGAAGAGAACTTCTTTATAGGAAGCTGTGAAGGGTCAGACTGCCCTTAAACTGAAAACTCCACTGGGAAATCAGAGGATGAAGTTATAGCTCAAAGTATGGATCCTGGTGAGACTCGAGAGGCAGTTAAACCGCAGAGGTTGTTCAGGATGAAAGGGTGAGAGAAATGAAGGCCTAGTTAGTAAACCTTTTACTGTAACTAGGTGTTTTGCTACTTGTAGTGACATTATGAAAATAAAATGCTGATTGATAACTTTTTTAAGTAGCAATAGACTTAATGTTTTGTACCTGTCGTAACAAAAACCTTGCTAATACTGTGCTTATCCTTCCTCGCAGGAGATGGAGACACCACCACTGTCCCCTGGTGGACAGTGAGTGTATTTCCGAGTTGCGGCTGCAGCCTGAACGCTCCAAGCCGGAGTCACCTGTGCTACAGAAGCATGAACATAAACTCTTTATGTTTGTCTTTTGTGTGGCGATGCCCAAACGTATTCTTAACAATACGGTCACTGAGAAAATTCTTCTCAACTCAAGGGCAAGAGCGGTTTGGAACTAACCCCCTGAAAGCAATATTACATCTGATAGAAGTTTATTAAATATTGAAACACCAGGCATGAAAATGGAGGTGTTTTGCCTTTAGATATTCAGGGCTCGTGGTTCTACTTCGGCTTCTCCACAAACCACAGGTGACCCCAGACAATGCGGGTCACCAGGCTGCCTCACTCAGTAGTTCAGAACATTCTCCCAAATCAAGTGCACACGACTTAGAGCTAACCTTTCTATTCTGAGGCGACCAGCCACACACAGCTGCTGCGCCTACCTCACTCACCACAGAAACTCAGCGATGGAAGAAAGAAAATGTCTGCAGAATGTAATCAAAACGACAGGTGCAGCTGACACATCTTCCTCATAAAGCTGTGGACGGGTGTGGGAGAGCAGGGTGACTGGGGTAAGAGGAAGCAGAGGAGAGAGCCTAGTGCACCCCAGCTTTAGACTTAGCAGCAGATGTCAACAACTAAGCTGCTTCCAGAGCAATGTCTCATGCATTCCCTGACACCGCGCCCGAGAGCTGAGGCCCCACCTGGCGTGAACTCTGGCCCTGAGGTGCTGTGCAGCCTGCGCTGCTGCCAACGGTCGCAGTGACACAGTGAGGACGCAGCGGAGCATCCCCTAGGGTCACAGGTGTGGCAGGAGGCCAGCCACTCCAGACAGGCGGCAACGTGCCGCTCAGGCCCGTCTGGGACAGAGAGGCGCAGGGCTGAGCCCTGAGGGGCCTGGTCTGAGTCGGTGGGGCCCACGGCACCAGGGGTGGTAGGTCCTCACAAAGGTGCCTGAAGCCCCATCTTTCTCCATCCCCCTGTCCAACCCTAAGTAGACTGCTCAATCACTGATTTACTGGGGTGCCATAAAAATGCACCTTTCCTCAAGCCAGTGAATCAAAAGCCTCGGAAAGGAAAGGGCCCCGGAAGGACACGTTTTGCTCAGATGTAGAGTCATGGGTCAGTTTAATTAGACACTAGGATGCCACTAATTAATTTAGACGCTAGGATGCCACCAAGACCGGCAAGCGAGTTGAAACACCAGAGAACACACAGCCTGCAGCGGAAGCAACAGGAGGGCAGACGGGTTCGCTGCAGGCAGAGGGACAGTGTGGACAGTGGGGAGCTGAAGTCCACCCCACCAGCCTCCTGCCAGTGCAGAAACCAATGCACCCAGGGAGCCTGGCAAGGAGCAGGCCGACAGCGCGCACTCTCAAAACAAAAGCTGAAGGACACTGTCGTTTGGATGCTGCTCGTGATCTAGAATCGCGCTGGATGATTTCCCCCTAATTCTGTTAAAAGCAGACCGGTGGTCAGTGAGGAGTCCTCCATCCAGTGTAAAGGGTGGTCAAACGAGGGCAGGGCCGCTGGTCAGTAATTAGGAGAAAGACAGGAGCGAGAGCAAGGAAGCGCTATGTCTGGGCCTGCACCCCATCCTCAGCAAGTGAGGGGCGCATGCACATGCTCCCCTGTGGTCTTGGGCGGCCGGGGTGGCGAGGGTCACACTCACTCGTTGAGCAAAGGCATGGATGTCCTCCTCTTGCTCTTCTGCACCATGTTGGCCTGATTCCGCAAGGAGATCCGAATCATGGCCGGGGCCAAGCGACAGGGCTCACCGTCCACTTGCATGGGGATGGACTTGTACGTCAGCAGCAGGACCTCCCGGCACTGGTGCAGCCTCTCCCCGTGGCCCCCCACTTGCAGGGCAGCCTGCGAAAACAAGAGCCAAGGGAGGCCAGCCATTAGGTCTTCAGAGCACCCCGGACAGCCAGGCCCCACGGCCGCCACAAAGACCCCAAAAGGCCTTTGGGAAATGTATCAGCAGCTGTTAGCGTGAGTAACTGGGAAGCCTGGGTAAGTCGCTCACACGACTCCACTAAAAATGCAACACGTGCACTGGACCTGACCACATTTCTTACTGCTTTTAGGTTACGTCTTTAGTCTTAATTTAATCAAGCTGGCTTAATGCAAAAGCTATTCTTTGTGCTACTGTGTCCCATGAAAGAACCAATTTGTAAGTGGGCCAAAAGAATTTAAGAGAGGGGTGTCCCTGGTGGCGCAGGGGTTAGAGTCTTAGTTCAGTCAAGCTATCAGAAGCCACTAGAGCCTGAGTTCCATCCCCGCCAGTTTGCTGACCCACATGGCGCAGCAGACCTCTCCTGTCTCCCCGCTGCTCCCCTCAGCAGTGTCTATCAGTGAATCTGCCTGTTCTGCTCCCCACTCTGTCTCTGGTGAATCCTCTCGGGCCTGTACCCCAATTTTTGTATACATAAATAAATGAAAAAAACTTTAGAAAAAAAAAAGAATTTACAAGAGATAAAGCACATAGCTTAAGATAGTGTCCATATTATACTTGAATGCTCATTAAAATAAATATAACTATTATATATATTTAAGTACATTAAATATGGTAGATCATAATTATATACATCATATATAATAATATAATTTAATATGATATGTAGCTATTTATTAACACATAGTTATATATGATCTATTATAATTAATGTTAAATATTATAATCTATAAATTATAAATATTAATGATAATTATTATAATCTATATTTCTTATACTATGTATTTATGTCATATTATTAAATATATAGCTAGAATATATAAACATAAGTATATGAAATATTTTAACTATGTAACTATAATATTGCTAAGCATATAACCATATAGTATAGACTTCTATTTATAGCTATATTTGTTATAACTATGACCACATGTTACATATTAAATATGTATTATAGTTGAATATACATCCTACCTTTGGTTAATTTTCAAGCTAGCAGACTTCCTTTTTCCCCTAAAAACTCCTTAAGGTACTTCTCATTTTTATAAAATCAATTAAATACAAAACAATATTAATTATTTTTTAATTAATTAATTAAAAACCTTTCCTGGTGGCGCAATGGGTTAGGATGCAGCACTGCAAGCTGGTCGCAGCCCCTTCAGTGTGAGTTCCATACCTAGCCTCAGAGGTGACCTACATGGCACAGCAGACTTCTCCTGACCAGCCCATGGCTCCCCTCAGCAGTGTACTTTGTTGATCTGCGTATTCTGCTCCCCACTCTGTCTCTGGTGAATCTTCTACCACCCCTGCACCTCTGGCCTGTACCCCAGTTCTGTATGCATAAATAAATCAATCTTAAAAAAAAAAACCTTCTGAAAAATAGGTTAGTGAGAATTCAGTTCACTCCGGGGCCACAGAACAGTAAGTCAATCCAACATTAAAAGACTATTGTTAACTATTGCTAAGGAAACAAGAGCAGTAAGTTACACTAACTTCCTGCTTTCTTTAAAAGAAAAAAAAAAAGGATTGAGTATCATTGACCTTTTTAGGGATTGAAGAAAGCCATATAATGCATACTGGATGTACAACATACATAGAATATACAAATTACATTATCATTATTTTTATGCACATTTGTAAATCTCTATCCAGGTCAAACTGGAGTGACCGTTATCAGGTTTCCCTAGTAACCACTGTTTTGACTTTTATTGCCAATTTCCTTGAACTTGAACTTCATATAAAATAAATCATACATACAGTATGTACTCTTGTGCCTGACAACTTCTACTCGTAGGTTTGAGTATTTTATTGAAAAATGAAATTTGTCCACTTGTCTGCTAGAGAACATAGGGCTATTTCCAATTTGAGGGTTAGTATTAATTTAACCACTCTTATTTATAGCTCTTGGTGGACACAAACCCTCTTGGGTATATACAATGAGTAGAACTGTTATGATAGAAGTTAGATGTATACTTAATTCTAGTAAACACTGATAACAGTATTTCAAAAGGTTATAGCAGAATGCATTACAACTATCAATTTACAATGAAATAACCTTTACGGTATCAAGTATTAACTACAGCTCAGAATCTAAAAAAAAAAAAGAAACCATCAATCTGTCTCCATGTCTCATCTCTATGAATGGGAAAAAGAATGTTTTTAGCTGCAATTTGGTTGCAAAATATTTGCGTTTATAGGATGGTTCGAATTATCTTAGTACTTGCATTAATTTGAACAACAGAAACCTGATGATAGATGCAACAAAAGAGAACACTTAGGGGCAAAAAGGAGAGAAGTAAAATAAAATTGAAGAAACTTACTGTTTGATGATTTTGATGTTAAATGCATTCAATTATGTACTTTAAGTACAATTTTATGCAATTAGTAGGAGAATCAGAGAAAGCAGAAGAGAATACAGTGAGAATTTACTGATTTTTTTTTTTTAGTAAAAAAAAATATTATCTAATCCTTTTATTCAGCTGGAAGTTTTTCTGGCTGTACTTGAGAGAACCATTTAAGTTAATCTATGGCTTTGAGCCACTATCTCATCTCCAGAACTTTTCCATTTTTATTTCCTTTGCAGCAAGTGTTTTTCAACTCAATATCTATCTGACAAAACCATATCCCTTTATCCACTAGAGAAAATACCACCACTTTCTTCTTTTTGTCCAAATTTTGACTGGGCCTAAAGATAAACAAAAATGCAGAGCTTGCCAGGTTAAGAATTTACTTCTCTGAGTTTAAGAAAACTGCAATATCATTTCAGTCGTAACTCTATCTCTTGGTGAGGAAGGCATGCACAGTACAGTGACGCATGTCAGACCCAGCTTCTCTGAAACAGAATAACACAAATGCCAGGCGTGGGGTGTGAGGAGTGGGGATCAACCGCCGGCAGCCCCTGACATTTCAGAGTCGATTCCAAAGGACTGCACAAGCACAAGGGGAACCAGTGAGTGCTTCACCATCAAGACATTTCTGTTAGTAGAACCATTCTAAATTATCTTTGGGACAAGCTCGAGTAAAGGCAACTTTAAAAATACTTACTTGAAGTAGTGATTTCTCATCATTCCGACCACACCTTGGCCCTACACTATTCCTCTGGAATAGTGACAGACACCCCTGATTTGCTAGGAGGACTCACTAACACTGAAATGCTGGGTCACTGATGGCGTTCAGCCTTCTCTGCAATCTAGCACATGCTGTGAGGATTCCAAGTACTGTCCTGGCAGCATATGACCGGAAGGGCAATGAAATCAGTAGCCTGCACCCAATGCAGCCATGACCCCATTACTCTGGGACCCCAACAACCACCCTCCATCTCCTGACTTTGTGGTGTAGAGTTCTCCTTGGAACGTTCTTCCATCTGCCTTCAAGTATTCTCCTCCCGACCTAAGTCCTTATTCTCCACACTCTCCAACAGAAAGGGTGGACAATCCTGGTCAGGGGAGAAGAAACGAGGCGGGCTTGTTCCCTCCCTCCCTTTCTCACCACGTTAGGTTTGAAATTCTTTAATGACTAAAAGGGCATTCATTTTTTTAAATGGAACAACTAAAGTCGCATTTTTATGTATACGTGTTTTACATTCCATGTCCACTTTTTTTTATTTATTTTTTAATTTTTTTATTATTTTTTTTTATTTTAAAGATTTATTTATTTGTGCATACAGAACTGGGGTACAGGCCAGAGGCTCAGGGGCGGTGAGAGGCTTCACCAGAGACAGAGTGGGAAGCAGAACAGGCAGATGGATGAAGTACACTGCTGAGGGGAGCAGCGGGCGGGTCAGGAGAGGTCTGCCACACCATGTGGTCACATGCGGGGCAGGCGGGAATCGAACTCATGTGGAAGCGGCTTTAGATTCTCAGTGCTGTGCTTTAACCCGCTGCGCCACCAGGGAGGGCCCCCTGTCCATTTTTAAACAATGTTTGCTCTTTTTCCTGCCCTCAGGTGTAGACCCCATGGGTTCCTCCCCAGGTCACCCCTGCACCATCACCACAGTCCCTTGTGCCCCCTCCCCCATCCCGCTCCTTCCCCCTTCCCTGCAGGACCTGGCTGGTTCACGTCTGCTTTGTTTTGTTGGGCTGGGTTTGGTATTGTTGTTATTTCCCTGATGTCTTATTTGGCCACCTATGTCCTCCTGTAAGTTGAGAACATCCGACATTATTCTTTTTCCTTCTGACTTATTTCACTGAGCATAATCCCTTCTAGCTCCATCCACGTTAAAGGAATTATGTTCAGTGAAATAAGGCAGAAGGATAAAGCATCTCATGAGGAAGTATGGAATATCTACCTGTGATCAGAAGCCAGGCAAGCATGTTCACTCTGAGCTTTTATATCCAACATATCACTGACACCTTTGCCAGCTAAGTAAGGCCAAAAATAGTAACAGGCATATAAGGAAATAGGAAAACCATTTTTATTCACAAACATATTTTGTAAGTAAGAAAAACTAAGGAATTTTTTAAGAGCCAACCTGAACTAAAGCAGGAAATTTAGAAAACTTACAAGACAAAATCAAAAACTAAATCTGTATGTGCTGTATATTTCTATATATTAAATAAATGTGAAATTTAAAACAATTACTACTTAAAATAGCATTAAAGGTATAAAATACTTAGGTATGAATTTACAAGAATCTGAAAACTATAAAACATTCTTGAGAGAAATAAAAGAAGACCTAAATAAATAAGAAACAGGTCATGTTTATAAAGTGGAACATTCAATATCATTAATGGTAGTTGTCTCTAAACTTACTTGTTAATTCAATGCAATCCTAATTAAAATCCCAGCAGCTTTTCTAAACACAGTCAAACCAATCCTAACATTAATATTTTTTATATGTGAAAGATGTAGATCATGAAAACTCTCTTAGAAGAACAAAATGAAATTATTCTTATGACCACAATGAAGACTTACGATAAAGCTATGACAATCAGAGGGCCTGGAACTGGCTAAGGATAAACAAAGCAATGAAACAGAACTAAATTCAGAAAGAGACCCAAAGGCAACCTAGGCATTTTTAGAGAAAAATACAGTCTATTCAAAAAATAGTGATGGGAAAAAAATGGATATACATTTTTTTTAAACAATGACTTGATACCTACTTTGTGCAACACATCAAAATTATTTTGAGATGAATCACATATTTACATATAAAAGCTAAAATTGTAAATATTCAAGAAGAAAATACAGGAGAATATCTTACCAACCAGTTTTGAAATAAGCAAAGATTTTGTAAGAAGGACATAAAAATGCTTGCGTATGAAGAAAGCCTACTTCATAAAATTGAAATTCATACAAATGTTTAAAATAAACTTCTGTTTATCAAAAGAAACATTAAGAAAACAAGAAAGATGACAGATGGAAAATATATTTGCAATAAATATTTATACCCCAAAAAAGTGTATTTGAAATGTAGAAATAACTCATGCCATAAAAAGCTAACAGCCAGTAAAATATGCAAAAAAGCAGATATTTCAAAAAACAAAAGATATAAAGTTAGCAATAAAGATAAGCCACTTGTCCTCACTCTCATTTATGGTGTTTAGCAAAACATTAGTGATGATACAAAACACATTAAATTCTTTCATTTCTTCCTCATTTAATTCTGTTTCATCAAATGTAATACTTGATTATGTACTGATACCATTTTCTGTCTACTATTGCCACATTTTCAGCACCTTTGGGGTATTAAATCTTAGTCAATTCTCAGTAAGTATATTCCTACTTTGCTGTTGGGCAAGTTAACAGTACAGAATTTCTAGAAAGTGGTTTTGTGATTTTTATTACAAGGCTTTAAAATATTTATGTCATTGAGTCAGTAATTTCTTTTCAAGGGGTTGTCATAAGAAAATAACTTAAATTGTGAGCAGAGGTTTATGGGCAATTATGTTAATTATAGGATTGTTTATAGCCTGCACACATCAACGTGACTATCAAATGTTCAGAAATCTAAAAGTTTCAAAAAATAGACTTTTTATGAAGGGAAAATTATTACATAAAGTGGGACCTATTTATAGAGTGGAAGAGTACAAACTTATAGTTCATCAGTCATTTATACTAAGGGTTTTACTTATAATTATGTGGTTTCATGCATGTCTGAAAATATAGAAATAAAGCAGTTGCAAGGAAACATTGAAATATATTTATCGTCATGTGATTACGATTGATAGTTTTACTTTTTGTTTTGTTTTGTTTTTTTACTTTTAGTTTGTGTATTATCAAGTAAGCAAACAATATTACTTTTTTTCTAAAAAAGAAAAAAGAAAAGAAAGTAAAGGCTGCATTATCCAGGTGGTAAAAAACTTCACCCAAGGAATTTCCTTATGTAATTTTTCTCCCTGAACGAACTTTTGCTTTTCTAATTCCTTAGTAGAAAAGAGCCTACATATTTTAATTTCAATTAACAAAAAGAAAGCTGGATATGCTTTAAAGTGTAGGAGACTGAAATCTTTGGATTTCATACTGCATGGCAAATTAGGCACCCAATTCCACAATCTGAATAAGGCTTTGAACTGTCTTGAAAAGTTTTAAGTTACTTAGAAACAGATTCAACATGAAAGGACCTTTACAACTATAATGGCAGCAAATTGTGGCAGAAATAAATACAAATTACAATGTCTGATTATGGTCTCTGCAGAACCCAAAGAGGTAATCAAGTTACCAAGCAGCCCAGGAAGAATCATCTTAATTAGCAGGAATGCATTCCAACCAGTAAAAATGAATTGAAGACTTCTGCTTTGAAATTTGCAATTAGGAGATAAAGAGCCTAAAAGAAACTTTTTTTCCCACTCCAGTAATTCTACTTTAAATTGCTCTTAAAGAACCACTGAAATTTTAAATATACAAATCTATACTTGCACAGACCCAAATAACTACTCCTCTGCTTATATATCACCTGACACAGGTATCTGCACTCAAATAATAGACCTTCTTAAAGACATAACCCATGTAAGATGACCCATGTAAGAACTATAACATGGAAGGATTGAAAATAAACTTATTTCATCTTGAAGGAAAAAAAAGAAGTACATGGTGTACTGGTGTGTGAACAATAAGGTAAGATGTGTATGAAAACAGAGAAAAAATATATTCTAATTTTAGAGCATAGGATGTTCAAAACTGTACAGTATAAATTGTATTACCCTACCTTTTTAGAAACAGAAAAAAATTTAAACCTTAGCAGCAACTTAAGTCATTAGATTCTGAGATTCAGTGACACATTTGAAGGGGAAGGGATTAGATCTAATGCAACTAGCTCTGATTATCACTTAGAGGAAACAGAACAGAGAAGGATTATTAATTTATACTTCAGGGCCTTTACCAGCATATTCAAACACAAGGAGACATTAAGGACAACTATCCTGATTTCTTCATTAAAAAAAAAAAAATAAAGATGAGTGGGTAGAAAATTACAGGCTTAGGAGCCCTATCAACCAATCACAGTGAATGAATTTTAGTTGAATACTGATTTTTAAAATATGGAAATAGGAAACAGCTGTCTGATACAAGTGGAAATTTTGAGAACTCAGAAAATAATAATATTGTTTTAATTTATTAGATAAGGTAATGTGATTGTGTTCATAAAATAAAGCTGTATTTTCTAAAAATACTGACATATTTACAAGGAAATTGTTACAATGTCTTGGATTTGCTTCAAAATAATATAAAGGAATGGATCATCTGTGGAAACAGATACAAGAATATCCACAAGTTATGAGACAATTATAGAAGCTGGGAGGTGGTATAGGAAGGTTCAATATATTATTGTGTCCATTTTTATATAGAACTTTTTTTCAATATAGATTGAATCACTGAATATTCATAATTATTTCTTTTAAAAACTCACTTTATAATTTCTCAGTGATCTTCGAATCAAGTCAAAACTCTTATTTTGCACTCCACGAGCTGGTTCCTTTCTGCTCAGTAGTAGCTACCACTTTTAGTTTTCAGCTACCTTTACCCTACATAAACTAATTCTAGATCCCACAGAGGGCCTCACTTCTGCTAGACATTTCCTGGCAGCCTTCTATTGATACTAAAGTGTGACTACACAGCTCTAGCACGCTAAGTCTTCCATATTCAGTGAATAAATGAGTAAGACGTATATGGCCAGGTTGGGCATTTTTGGTTACTTCCAAAAATTCTTTCTAGCATATACCCCACTTGAACTTAATCCTATTTTCTGTTGGCTGAGTCTTTGCCTAGAATCAGCATAAAGAACTTTGGAGGGAAAGACCTATATAAGAATTACAATCTGAATTGGATATTCACGGTCAGGTCTTTTACATTTTACACTGTTTCTTTCTAGCAGTGACAGACTGAACAAACATCACCACCACCTCAGGTGATGATATCCTTCCCATAATCACAATAAATTATTCTAATAAATATCACCAATGCAAGGTGAATGAAGAATAGTTATTTAGAATGCACTCAAGTGAAGAAGAAATGCCTTGCTTCAGAAAAAAAAAGCAATCTCCTTGCTTTCAAGCATAAAGCATAGCACAATCCAATGGCTGCTAGAAGTTAAATTTTAATTTGCTAACTGAATTAACAGTGTGACCTGGTTTTACACCGTAGAAAGTGATAATCATGATTTATAGTTGGCTTCCTTATCATTCAATAATAAGTGGAAATATAGAGCTAAAATCTGCTAAAATGCCAGGTGATAAAATACTATGGCAACTGGACACCTACAATATGCATATCCTCCTATATTCAGGTATTCTGTGCGAATGGTGGTGTCCACTGTATGCTTACGCAGGCATGTAACAGTGAGTGCGCAAGTTCTCAGTAAGAAAGGCATTTAAAGGTAAGGGGTCTGCATCAGTAATGGGACGTTTGAGAAATGCTTTTTAATTAGCATGAGAATTTTGCACTTCAATCTGGCAGAAAGTCAAACAAGAAAATTAACAAATAATCACTATTTTTTGATGCAAGCAAATGTGCATCAATTTTCATGACATAAAATCATTTCTTGTTCTTGCTTTCCCCAAGCAACTTGAGACTATACAAAGTTTGTCAATTGATAAAGCAGAAGAGAAAATGATGCCTATATCCTGTGAAATTAACAAACTCTATGACTAAAACACCTTTCGTTTCAGTAAGATAGTGGAACTTCTCACCAAAGAGGCCATGGTGAAGCCAATGACTTCAATATAACCGTCATCGTGACGTTGGGGTTCAAAATCATGGTGATCGCCTGGGTTCCCCCAGGGCATTGTGCCAGCACAATATCTGTAAAAGAAGATTAAAACAATGGAATTTAGTCCATTCTTCTTGTGGAAGGTCAGTGTTTATTTCAGGTAAGAATAGCTCTCTGCTCTTGGTGTACACCTTCCGAGAGAAAATAAAATGGCCTTATCTTTGAAATCGTTTTAAATATGCTGAAAATGTCTTTACAACAAACACATTCTCCCAGTCCATTCTGTGTCATCACTTTTCACTCTAGGATCCATTGACTGTTTATGACACATCATGAGTTTTCATGACTTCCAAATTTGGTCTTGGGGGAGACGAGCGCAGGCCAATAGAAAAGGGAAAGGAAGTTCAAGTAGGTACGCATCTGATATTCACAGCGAAGATAATAGCTACCTGTGGGAGAAGATAAAGTAAGGCAGAAAGAGTGAAGAAGCCATGAGAACACATGAGATTAGAAAGGAAAACAAAACCTAGAGAAACAGAAGAAGAGGAATCAGAAGGGAAGAAGGGACAGGAGCAAGAAGAAAGAGAAGAATAAGGAGAAAAGAAAACGCCAAAGTTAACAAGCAGTGTTTTCTGAGAATCTATGCCTTCTACTTAAATAACTATGATGAAAATATTTCTGGCAATGAATTATAAGGTATATGGAGAGCTGCCAAAGATAATCAGGAATCTGTGTTTTCCTTACCACAGATTTACATATAAGTCTCATTTCCATTAAATTTAGTCTAAATAGAATTTATTTGCAGATTTTGTGTCTGAGTTGTCTTGTTTGCAAATAACTAAGGGTCATAGACCCATCTCTTCCAAAATCTTGGCTTAGGAGACAAGAATCTAATTTTATGCTTCTGAGATAATGTGCTTATTTCGAGACTGATCTTAAATATCCCTTTCTCCTGAGGTTATAATAGCACCAAAGAGAGTTGACATCCTGGCTAGAAAATGCTGCTCTAATTGAGCCTATTTTTTTCAAACCAATCATCTGGCAACAATTTGGAATGAATTCCATACTGAAATAAGGCTGGATGGTTTCCGAGCTGCTTTTGGGACACTGAGAACAGGAATTTACTCAAGTCTATCATTGTTGAGGTGGTGGAAGATCATCAGTAATAAAGAATTAAATTTAAAACATTCCAATGGAGAGAGATGCTGAGATTTAAGAATGGATAAGCACAGACCATGCATGTCATAATTCACACCAAAAAGAGAAATAAAAGTCACACACAAAAACCCACCTACCATTATCACAGTGATAATGTGATAATGAGCAAAATTATCAAGAGGAAAAAAGAAAATCATAACTGAAGTCATTTAAAACCCTATTAAGAAAACTGATTTTTATTGTGTGTAGGTACCTAGAAATTTTCTGTAGCGAAAGCTTAGCGTTTTGGGTCAAATAGAATTTTCACCAAACCAAGAGGACAGTAGAACAGAGCTCACCTGGGTATATTTAAAAATACTATACACTGGAACTTCAGCTCCTGAATCTTTGGGGTGAGATCTGTCCCATCACACTGCAACAAGCAAAACAGAAAAAGCAAAGACTTTAAACACCTGACAAATCTAAAAACATTATCAAAGGTAACTAAGGCATAGTAACATCTACCCAGGTTCTTGCCTTGCCCTATCTGTGCTTAAGTGAATGCTAATTTCTAGGATTAAAACTTTATTTTGATCACGGCTTTATCAGGCCCCAGGTTCAGAAGATGATTTTGTTTTGACTTAAAGTCACAACAAAAGTACCATTTGACCAAAATAACTTTTCTCTGGTCTCACAGTCAAAGCAACTGCGGTCACACGTAAGCCTCAAACTATCGTTTGATACTTAGATATGTTCTATCAGCATGGAAGTTTGCTTAAACAAAAGAATGGAGGGCTCTCCCTGGTGGCGCAACAGGGTAAAGCACCACGTTATTAAGCTGAAGCCACTGCAGCATGAGTTCGATCCCCAACCAGGGAGCTGACCCACATGGCACAGCAGACCTCTCTCATCTCACCCGCTGCTTCCCTCAGCAGTGTGTTTCAGTCAGTCTGCCTGTTCTGCTCCCCACTCTGTCTCTGGTGAATCCTCTTACCCACAATACCTCTGGCCTGTACCCCATTTCTGTAAGCATAACTAAATCTTAAAAAAAAAAAAAAAAAAGAACGGAGCTTCAAGTTGAAGCAGGAGCACTCTCTACCACTGTCATTTGATTCAAACATCAATATAGCCACTTATTTTCTTTTGCTTTCTGAGATTCTTATTTTGAAAATATTAAACACAATATTTTAAAAACTGTGTGGACTACATACTGCAGCTTCTACAAGAAAGCATCCATCCTATAAATAACCATTATCTGCATGAGTCCTTTGCTCTCACAAATGTAACCTGATTACAGATCTTGGCTTCTGAGCTAACCCACTTCACTGGGAGTGGGTTGTGACCCCAATCTGTGGGGACCCCGGACTGGTCGGGCCCCCATACCTTTGCACATACCCACTGGTTAGTACCTTCCTCGAGTACTCTGACTAATCACAGAGGCTTTCATTTTCCTTTCTCATTTCCCACAGGTGACAAAAGTCCAAAAGGAAAACTCTAGTCACAATGAAAACTTCCCAGAAGCATAAAGCCTGCCATTATGTTGCTCTCCTCATACCCCCACCCCAGAACTTCCCCTGCCTGCTTCTCCTTTGGGGACAGAAGTAAAGCATCCTAGCTCCCTGCAAACTTTTGGAGATGTCTTAATCAAGCGTTTTCACTTCAGTGCACGATTCAACTAATGCGAAGTGTCGCTGCGAATCTAAATGTTGCCAAACTTTCATGAGAATTCTCAAAAATTATTTCCAGGACAATTTGGATACTAAATTAAAAAGGCATTTTCAAATATTATTTATAGGGAAATCAAGTTCTAGACATTGATTGAAGTTGTTTTTCACAACAGTCTCCTGATTTGCCTCAGGACTTCAAATTTACAGATCTGACTTTACCAGTGATTAAAAGTGGAGACATCTTAATGATTAAAATTCAGTGCTGGGCCCTCCCTGGTGGCGCAGCGGGTTAAAGCACAGCACTAAGAAGCCAAAGCCACTTCCGCATGAGTTCGATCCCCGCCTGCCCTGGAGGAGATCCACATGGCGTGGCAGGCCTCTCCTGGCCCGCCCGCTGCTCCCCTCAGCAGTGTACTTCGTTGATCTGCCTGTTCTGCTCCCCACTCTGTCCCTGGTGAATCCTCTCACCCTCCGCATCTCTGGCCTGTACCCCAGTTCTGTATGAATAAATAAATAAATCTTTAAAAAAAAAAATTCAGTGCTGTAAGCAACTGAAACTTTTGGGAGTTAGAATGTGATAATTGATAGAATTCAAAGCAATATTATTGTCTTATAGGAAAAAAACATAATGATTGTTATTAGAACAAATTATTTTGTAAGTTTTCTACTGTTTCCCCTCAGTGTTTCTGGGAATATATCAAATTACATAAGGAAGGGTGCCGGGTGCCTTACAGTGTATTGTTTTCTTGCCTGTCACTGCATTTGAACTTTATAATTCTTTAGAGTAGCTGTTTTCAACTTTTCCCTTACTTGATCCACACACAAAGGAAAATATTCACAAGCAAAATGTTTCTATTTACAAACTCATATTAATAAGTCAAAACAACCAGAAGCATGGAAGATGGGAAAATAATTACGTAGGTAGGTTTGTTCTTCTTTGGTGTGGTTTTCTTGGTGTAGCATCTATAAGAACATTTTTTTTCACAGAAAGTACAATTTTTACTTTTATTTATTTTTATATATCTATTTACATTATTGTTCATTTTATAGCAATGTTACTTCCCCTCTCCCCCTCCCGTAATCATCATGAAAACAAAAACAGACAGACAATTATAAACCAGAGAGGTCCTATAGGGGAGGGGACTAGAGAGGGAGCAGAAGGAGGGAGCAGTGTGGGGTCTATGGCAAAAACATTTCAGTTTATAAGGGATTATTAACTAGTAACGCACAGACCCTGACTTCCCTTTGTGGTGAAGATACGATAGTTGCTCCACATTGCATCCACTTACTCTCCCTGACTGTCCGTTCTCTCCAGCTCATACTCACTGCGATGCCACTACAAACTGTGCCTGGCTCATAGGCAAAGAAATGTACTATTGTGCCCTATTTTACAGATGAGGAAAGCAAACTCTACTGAATGGTTAAGTGACATTCCCCAAAGTCATTTGCTCCAGAAAGACTGACCTGGGACAGAATACTACATGTTGAGTTTCTAGTGACTCACCTGATCATAAGCAAATATTAGACAAGTCAATCTACCTAGGATGTTGCATATATTGACTGACATCAAGTATTCCTTAGTAATTGGCTGCCATCTTGGCATCACTAAAAGCTTCTTTGAATCCGTTCTAACAATCTATGTATGACACAACTATCTACGGCTGCAGATCTTGGAGAGACTCACTAGAGGTTGGGGAGTAAAGACTTTCATTTCAACCCAGCTGATCTCAACAGTGGACACCATCCAATATGGCCACTGCCCACTGCATACTGGCTCTGTGGGCAGGTGTTGATGATGTTCCATTCATGAGAAATATGAGAAAAAGGAGGAAAGTTTACTTTCGCCTGGGTTCCCAGCAGGAAAAAGATGAAAAGTTGGGGATAAGGTTGCTGCTGCTTAGATTTAATAATGATAATTTTATCAAAATGAAGACTTCAGGGCTGATTGTACCATGCACTTTCTCATATCTAGATTTTTGATGGCAGTATTTCTGTTTTCAAGAACTCCACTGCCAAAAGAGATCTGCTTTCATTGCTGTAGTGTAAGAACTGAACAGTTTGAGCAATGCCAAGGACTGTTAGTTCTTGTGCTAAAAGACACTTTTTTTTTTTGTTTGTTTCAACTGCTTCAGGAGTTTCAGGTCTCATATATGCTTTGTTGGTGATGAAAATTTTAATTTGTATCCTCATGCTCCTCTACATCACTCTATCCACCCAAGCACGATTTCTTTATTCTGATGTGTATGTTTTGTTCTGCGTCTTTTTATCACATGTTCTTTCTTCCATCTCTGCCATGATAAATCCAAGCACTGCTATATTCCCAGGCATTCTTCCCCATTTATGTCTTCTTCTCTTTCTGTCTTCCTTTTTCCTTAAACAATTATGTAAAACAAAGTTTCATTCCTTCTTTTAACTTAGCTTCCATCCAGAAACATTTCATGTCTTTATTAATAACTGATACCTGTCATTTTAAAGCATATCTCCTGGGCCCTCCCTGGTGGTGCAGCAGGTTAAAGCACCACACTGGGAAGCTGAGGCCACTTCTCCATGAGTTCGATCCCCGCCTGCCCCAGAGGTGACCCACATGGCACAGCAGACCTCTCCTGACCTGCCCGCTGTTCCCCTCAGCAGTGTACTTGTCAGTCGGCCTGTTCTGCTCCCCACTCTGTCTCTGGTGAAGCCTCTCACTGCCCCTGAACCTCTGGCCTGTACCCCAGTTCTGTGTGCATAAATAGGTACTTTTTAAAAAATAAAACATATCGGCCTTCCCTGGTGGCGCAACGGGTTAAAGCACAGCACTGAGAATCTAAAGCCGCTTCTGCATGAGTTCGATTCCCGCCTGCCCCGGAGGTGACCACATG